AAATAATTAATAATTAATAATATAATAGATAGTAAGTTATTTTTATTGATTATCAGTATTTAATTATACTTTTTACTGTAATTTAAATTTAAACTAAATTTTTTATTTAAAAAAATAATTTAAAATTTTAGCTTGTAAGTTATTTTTATTGATTATCGGTATTTAATTATACTTTATATTGTAATTTAAACTCAACTAAAATTTTATTTAAAAAATAATTAATTAAATTTAAAATCAAAAAAAGCTACTAAAAGAAGTAAGTTATTTTTATTGATTATTCAGTATTTAATTATACTTTTTACTATAATTTTAATTTAATTAAATAAATTTCAATTAAATATTTATTTAAATAAATCATTAAAATTTTAGCTTGTAAGTTGTTTTTATTGATTTCTATATTTAATTATATTTTTACTGTAATTTAACTCAATTAAATTTTTTATTAAAATAATAATTAATACTTTAGCTAGTAAGTTATTTTTTTTCAATTATTAGTATTTATATATACTTTGACTCAACTAAATTTTTTATATAATAATTTAGATAGTAAGTTATTTTTATTGATTAATAATTTTTAATATACTACTTAATATAATTTGAAAGTAATTATAAATTAAAAGTAGTAAGTAATTCTTATCATTTTTTTGTATTTAATAATACTTTTTGCTGTGATTTTAACATAATTAGTTTCTAATTATTTAATAGTATATTATTATATTTTTTACTATAATTACTTTACTATAAAAATTTTAATTATTATTTTTTATAAGTATAATATAATAAATATTTATTAAAATATATTTTTTTATTAATTATATTTATTTTAGTAATAGAATATAGTGTTTTTCAGGATGATTATTATAAGAATAATGCTATAAAATGGATAGAAAATGCATTAGTAACTGAAAAAGTTAAATATATACCATTTAATCAATTAATAAATTCTAAACAACTGACTACTGGAGGATTTGGATCTATTATAAAAGCAACTTGGATTAAAACAGAAACTTTTATTATTTATAAAAAATTAATCAATTTACAATCCATTAAAGGCAATAGTTTAGATGCTTTTATTCATGAATTACAAATGCATTTACGTCTTGATTGTAGTGATCGAATTATTCGTTGTTTAGGCATTAGTAAAGGTAAATTTATAATTTATCTATTTTTTAAATTATAATATTTACATTTAATTCATTATTTAAAAAATATATTCTTATAGATAATAATGATTATCTTCTTATAATGCAATACGCTAATGATGGTGATCTTCAAAATTATCTTGAAAAGAATTTTAAAAATTTAACTTGGAATTATAAGAAGAAATTAGCATTTCAAATTGCTAAAGGTTTAATTTATTTACATAATGAAAATATTTTGCATAGAGATCTTGTAAGTAATTAGTTTTGACGATTTATTTATTTTAATTATATTTTTAAATTAAAATACGTATATTATTTAGCATTCTAAGAATATAGTAATTCATAATGGTAATGCTAAAATTACCGATTTTGGTCTTTCAAAAAATATGAATTCACAAAATTCTACTATTCATATTGGAACTTTTGGTAGAATTCCATATGTGGATCCAAAAAAACTTTTGGATTTAAATTTTCAGTATGAAAAAGCTTCAGATATTTACAGTTATGGTGTATTAATGTGGGAAATCTCTAGTGGAATTCCTCCATTTAAAAAGTTTACTAGTAAATGTGATCAGGAGTTACTTTATTTTAATATTCCTAAAGGATTCCGTGAAAATAATATAAAAGGAACACCTGAAGATTATAGGGATCTTTATGAAAAATGTTGGGATTCTATACCTGATAATCGGCCTAGCATTAAAAAAGTTTTAGAAGAGTTTAAAAAAATGGGGTATGGAATAGATGAAAAAGATGAAGAAGATAATTCAACTTATGAAGGTTCTCCTATGGAAACAGAAACAAATATCAATAATATTTTAAGTAAAGGTATAGTAATGTATATTTTTTATTAATCATACGGTAAATCTTACAATAATTTTTTTATTTAGAAATGCAAACAACAAATGATTTAAATCGTCAATTAAATATACATGATGATTTAAATAGTAAGTTATTTAAATTTATATTTTAACGTTTTAATGAATAATAGTATGCTAACTAAAAATTTGAATTTTTTATTTATAAATTAACTTCATAATTTAGTTTAAACGATTTAAATAGCAGATATATCAATTATAAAGTTTATATTTATTTATTTATTTTATGTTTAAATTTTTTATCTTCTTTTATTAATAAATATTGATTTCGAAACACTGCACGATTGCATCATTTGTAATTATTTCTTTTTTTTGATGAAAGCAATGTAATACTTAAGAAATTTTTTATTTTTCATAATAATAAGATTTCTTTTATAATACTTCGAGGATATATAAAAAAAAATAAACAAGAAAAAAATTTTCCTATTATTTTATATTTTATAGTTAATAGACAATTCTTTTTAAACATTAAATACTTATCACTATGTGAATAATGAGGGTGTGATGGGCATAACAAATTAGTGTAAATCTTCGTGGTTGCGAAATTTTTGCAGTTGTATTTTATAATGTGTAATTACTGCGAATAACGCAGCAACTACAATAATTTACATACATCACTTAAACGATCGATTTATCGTTTCTCGATTTCAATTAATCGATGCTTATTGATCTTATCTTATTATGCGGATTAGGAAGACTTTATTTCTCTTAAGGCCTATTACATAGCGCAGGCTGAGATAGTAATAGTTCTTTTTTATTCTTTGAAATTCTTTTATTTTTGAATTTCCCACAAATATCTTTATTAAGCTTCAATAAATTATATTTAAAATTACATCCCATATTAATGATAAATAAAATACAAAGTTCAAAGCTTGTTAGTATAAAAATCACATTGAGAAATAAACTGAAAATTTTTTGACATGGCATTGTCAGATTATCCAAATTTTCTAGAATTATTTTTTTATTTTTATAAAAATACATTAGAGTTTCATAAGTTATGTTAAACATAAATAATTATCATAATAAAATCTGGGTTCTCGTTTCTGGTGATTGGAGTTGATTATACCAAAATCGAATTAATCGTGAGAATTTATTTTTTAAAGCGTAAATGTTCTGATTTCTGAGGCGCAATTAAAGGATACATCACGGCCATCACCTTTCCTATGTGATCTTATTGAAATGAATTAAGCGAAAGAGGCACCTAAAAAAAAAGATTGGATATAAATAATCGATTGCTGTAGTCCAAAGTGATCGAACACGTAAAAGCACAAATAAAAAATAAAAGGGAATAATAGCCTTACTTATTTCGTGATTAGGAAAATAAAATGTAGTATTATGCTGAGCAAAGGTTTATTATTAATAGGTAATAAATATTAATTTTAATTCAATGATATTTTTAAATAGAATTTAATTCAAGGAAATTTCAAGTCTTATGATGAAGGAAATGTGCCAAGTGGTTCTATAACAATTTAAATATAATATTGTAAAAGAAATAAATTATTATTTTACACAAGTTGCCGCAAAATTTCAAAAGATAAACTTTTGGATCTTTTTTCAGTCGGCATATAAATCATAAAATTTAAGGATGTTTAAGCACTTTATTACTAACTATATTGGGAAAACAAAACTCATTTCATCAGCCACTGGTGAAATCGATGTAACGTGAATTAATTATATCACCTACCGCAACAGATAGATTCATTTGACCCCAAATAAAGAAACACACTTATAAGTATAAACATTTAATTTAAATATATGAAAGAATATTATTTTTTTATTTAATAGCATTTTAATTTGTTATTAATAATCTAGAATGTATTGTGGTTAGTGATCGAACTAGATAATAGATTTACAAACAAATGTTTTAATCTTTAAATATAATAAACTAGTATTGCATAAACAGAAGAAATATCAAAAGCTCGAAGGACATCGTCGCATCGTCGGCATTTATCTGAATAATGGAACCTTACTTCTCAAAGTATGGTAATGGTATGATCAAAAACCGAAAAAATGTAATTCCGGAACTCGTTAACTAGCCAAAAGTTTAGATCTAATGTAATCAATAACCTCCTCAACATAAACATCTAAATCGATAAAAAAAATCGATAACCTGAAATGCGCAGAAAGATATTCAGAAACATTCTTGAAATGATTGGGGGTATCACCCTCGGGTTTTGACTGCGCCAAATCGGATCACCGCGGCTATGACGATCAATATGTCAATTCTGTTGGTATTGACATTTCGGACCTTTAGGACAATATGGATTCCTTGGCAAGATGAAAGATATATGTCAAAATGATCATTTATGATACCAGGGATCAATTAATTGGCATTTCCGTCATCCAAGCCTCAAGATCTAGAGAATGCCGTAGCAAAGCCATAGGAAGGAATTTATTATATAAAAGAGCTTCGTTTCGCTACTGGTTAACAATAGAATTTGAACTATCTTTTGAATAGATAGTCCTTTTCTCTTAGGGCCTATTACAGAGCGCGGCAGAGGCAGTAATAGTGCATTTATTGTATTCTTTTATCATTTTACATAATAAAACTATTTATTTATTTAATTCAATTTAAACTTTATTTTAATTATTTTACAATTGATAAACAGTACATGGATTCTTTCGTTAAATTACATCGATTATAATAAACTAAATATAATACATTAATTACCTCTCTTACGCTAATAGGACATCGAATCTCATTAATGACGATCCAAACAATGAAATTATGGGGATTACTTATTTTGGGTTCTGTTTCATAGGTTTATTTTATAAATAGAACATGAATAGGATCGACAATGTACAACATTTGCGTGCAGACGGTTGAAAGTTGATTTTTAATTTATGGGTAACTCTTATTTTTTTAATTTCACTATATATTATACATTTCTTTCATAATTTCTTTCTTCCCATGCGATTACCCTTGATGAAATAAACTTGCAATACTAATACCATACACAGTATAATCGTACGGTTACATATATCTATATTTTTTATTATATATTGATTAATGTTTTTATTTTATAATTATTCGGTCCCCCGATTGTAAATATTTTTATTCTTTACTATAATAATTATCATTTACTTTATTTTTTCTTTTGCAATATTACCTTTAATGATATATAATACACACGGATGCAAATGTTGCAAATCAATTTGTATAAAAAAGAGTAAGCAATCAGACAATATAGACAATATACAAGAAATAAAAAATAATCATTAACAGGAAGTAACAACAGAATGAAATAATGAATACTTTAGTAAATTTAATTTCGTTATCATTTATCAGTCTAAATGCATGTGATCATATCAAATCTATTCGTTTATAAAGTCTTTAAAAGCTATGCACATTTAATTATATAAATATTAAAATATTACATTCAACTTCGCGATTACACTGCTTCTATATACATTTAATAATTGTTCTTTTAAATGAACAGAATATTTATAAAGTAAATACTATATAATTTAATAGCTTAAACTGTAATATCACGATCATAGTTTAAATAACCCTTTCCGTGACAAATTACTCCACGGCCAAAGTATAATAATCAAATACTGTGTAATTATTAATATTATAATACATGTGCAATATCATTTTCTTACATGGTTAATGGATGATTGGTTAAAGTTTGCCACTGACGTGACAAAATTTTTACCAATCATTAATTAACCATGTGATATTGCTCTCCCCTCATACTATATATAATATATTAATATCCTAGAGGTTAGAACCGCCTTAATCGATCTCTGGCATGCACTATAAATTAGCGAAATTTGTATTCACAAAAATTTTATTTCTGCACGAAAATTAAATTTTGGCCAGAGTTAAAATTAAATATTTTAACCGGTTAAAAAAAAAAGCTTTGACAACAAGGTGAACATTCCACAACAAGTTCAATATCGCTGACGATTTCCTTACAAGATCTCTTGTTCTTAAGGATCGTTGACCATAAACGTTCAATGAAGATTAGCGACAAGGAAACGGTCTTTACAAAGCTTAAATTAATTGGGAAATAATCTCATCGCTTGTCGGTAATTAACATTTATTGTACCTCTCCTTTTGGCAACCCCACGAATACGTACTACTATACTGTATTATCTATTTTACGACAAATGATATCTGGTTAAAAATTAACCGGTTCCAACCTCTATATTGTAATAGTGCCCCGGATTTTAAAAAGATCAAATAAAGAAAATTTCCTTTTAATAATTTAATTTAATATTATCGTATAAATTTTATGAGGTTTAACACATGCACTGAACAAATAAATTTCTTGACCTACATTGCATTTTACTAGAGTAGAATGAAACTTTTTTTTAATTAACCATTAAAAAAGACATTGTATTATTTATTAATGAGGATTAATGATTTGCAAAGAAAACTATTTAAAATCGAAGATTTAATTACTCCGAACCAACCAAAAAATTTTACATATAATTTCCATAGCAATGCTTCACCACTTCAACTTTCTGGCAAAAATGAACCCCAGTTCAAAGTATGCGATGAATACGGTGGCACACTACCAGACTTACTCACTGTGAAGTTAACACTGATCCTATCGGACCTGGAGAGTAAACGTTCGAGGTTACCATATCATAGAAGAATTATGATATCGTAGAAGGAATAATTTATTATCAATACTTAATATAATTAGTAATGTTTTATTTTTCATTTATGTATACCGTAAATCAAAATCATTTGATATCTATTGTAGTAGTAGTAATATAAGAGTTGCGATACTCATTCGCAAATATATAAATATAAATTCCCGCTCTCAGTTAACTATACTCACGAAGTGGTTTTAAAACCTACTGCGCTTATAATACATGGTTATATCACGAAATCCGTCAAGCATAATCAGTATCCCGACAGCATAATCCCGATTATCTACAATCCCAACACTAACGAATGCCTGAAGTTCATATTACCGACATGACCAGAATCCCGACAATCTCTAAAACCTGAAAAGCATAAGCATAAATCCTGACAAGCAATTAATCCCGGCAAATCTTAGATTTTATATTGAACTACTAACCCTAATCTAACCTAATCTAACCCTAATCCATACCCTTTATATTGTATTTAATGTCAGATAAATTGACTTTTTAATTCAATAACGGTTTTTTACCAAGCTAATTTGACTTTAGTTTATTTTGCGAAGTCTTGTTAAAGAAAATATCTAAAAATATATGAAATTGACACGATAGCTTCCTTGCGGAAATTTGGGCTAATCAATCCTTCATAATATATAATTTTAATACTATTCATAGCTTTAAGAATAATGGTGCAACTTTTGTAGTTATTCGACAAAATCAAAATTGATTTGTTTATACTGGGCTTTTTGCGGAGCCCAGAATCACTAATCCAAATTTGATTCCCAATTTTACAAGCTAATTATAGGTAGCGGTAGTTATTCGGCTCGAAGTGCCAAATAAGTTATTTATCCGGTATCACGTAACAAATATTTTTATCATATTTTGTACTCTATTCTTTTCTCTCCACGAAGAAATTTTCTTTCTTAAATTCTTTTCTTGATAAACAAGCGATATTTCTATTTAATTTATTTAATTCTAATTGAAATACAAATTACTTATAATGCAAATTATAAATCATAAAGCTTTATTATGTTTTTGTTTTAAGAATTAGCAGGTATGAATAGATTTTTTAAATTTTTTAATTTATTATCTTAATAAAAGGCTTGATAATTAATGTAGAAGACCATTGCAAGAATTTTTTTTGATTCTAATAAAATTATAAATAAAACTATTAAAATTATCAACTTATATTAAATAATTAATTTATTGATAATAACCATAGAATAATAAAAAAAATTGCCTAATAGGTCATTAAATATAACGTGATACCGGATAAATTAAATGAATCTCATTAATTCTCCCAAACTGTGATATCCGATATCCTAGTACCTTTACAAAATATTTTTGATGAAAATTTAGTAGCATGTTTAAATATTGTTTATAATGCCAGTAAATAATTTTTTTTTGTATAAAGAATAGAATAGCCTATTACATCGGTCGAATTGAAGCTTTCGGCCCATGATTAAGAACTAATTGATTTCATTTAATTAATATTGTTTTGTAGAACCTTGTCAAATAGATAAATCTCATTGATTAAATCGAATGATATGTTCATCATCATTTTTAAATCATATCATTGCACTTCATTTATCAATCAACTAAAATCTCTTTAAATACGCAAAAAATTTTGCCTATCAGAGAATTCGTAAAGTTTTTTATCAATCATCGAAAATCAAAGATGTCCCAATCATTATCGCCACAATATTATGAGACTTTAGAATTCTTTAAAAATAAATTTTATGGTACTAATAAAACCATAGAAGATGCAAAGCATCAAATGGATGATATGGCTGTACCAATTCCTGATAATCTTATCGTAAATGAGGTAAAGTTGGATGACAGATATAGGATCAAAAGCAAGGAATATTTGGAGGATGGTTTGAAAAAGTACAAGGACGTAGTGGATGAGAAATGGAAAGATTTGAATGAGGGTGGGTTATGCGGATAGTGGATTAGAGTTAAGGATGAAGGAGATGGTGATGGAAGAAATCTCATAAAAATCAAGCTAGCACTAATTAATATGAAAATTAGTTTTAGATTAAATAATTCCTGATGTCGATAAAACTATTACTTTTTTAGTATCTTTATCAATAAAATAGACTTTTTTTTTCTACATAACTAATAAAATAAATTCCTAACCAATAATTTTAATACGAAAAAATAAATAATATTTTGTTAAAATAAATTGATTATATATTTTTTAAATATATAGGGTTGATAAATGTTAAGGAATCGTAAATTTGGTAGGCTAGTAATTTGAGTATTATAGCAATTGAGCTCCGTTATGGAGTTGGGTAAAATTAGTAAGTTGGTTATATTAGTATTATGGCATTCTAGAATGGTAAATTTGTTAAGCTAGCAATTTGAGCACCATAGCAATGAAGTATCGTTAAGGAGTTTAGTAAAGTTTGTAAGCTGCTTATTTGTATTTGAGTATTATAGCATCGAAGTATCGTTGAGGAGTTGGGTAAATTTGGTAAGCTGATTATTTGAATATTATAGCAATTGAGATACGTTAAGCAATTGGGTAATATTGGTAAATTGGTATAAGAATATTATTACAAATGAGTTTCTATATTTTTGCAATCCGCTAAGGCATTTAAATGTCATTCTTATTTAGATTAGACTTCAATAGTGATCGTCATAAACAATACAATATCCTATATTTCAATAATATTGACTGTATTTCTTCTACATTCCTGATAATAATTCATAATTATTCATTTGTTCATTTTCCTGATCAAAATTTCGAATAAGTCGAGATAAATCTCCAGATGAATTATTAATATTAGAAGAATAAAGTTGTAGTTTTGTATTATTGAATATCTGAATCACAATTAGTTTTCTTTCATATTTGTTTTTGTAATAATTAAATTTAATTTATAAACAACTTGATTTATAATTTTATACCAACAGACGAAAATTACTTATGTATAATATAATTGCCTCACGAAAGTTCTTTCGCAGTGGCATTATGAAGTTATGAAATGATTTTTAACGCGAGATGTTGCTTTGAACTTCTCCAATTTGCAAGATAGACTGCCAGAACCAATTTCTTGAAAATTGTTAAAATGTTTGTATTCATAGTATTTAATTTTCTTGAGATAAATTCTTCAATCTTATAAATCCATTAATTTAACGTTAACGTTAAAGGCAGAAAAGAAAAATGTATGCGGTAAATCATCATAATAAAGCAAACACCCGACGATCACATGATCATATAATATTCTTAAAATGATCTTTAAATTAAATACGTCTTGGGGATAAAATATATTGAATAAAGTAAATCTTAAATAAAAGAGCTCAATCGATTTCAGGATGGCTAATTTCTTATGATACAAATTGACGTAAAAAAAGTTTAACATAAATATATAATTTTTTATTATTAAAATTTTATTGAAAATTATTTCTTAAGTATTGCTTGTCGTTGTCCTAGGATACAATATATTACTTCTTTATTATTGGGTTCGTGAAAATTATGAGGTCATGTGGGGTTAAAAACTTTTTTTGCTGTGAAACCAAATGATCGTTGTACTACCATTTATGTCATTTGCAAAAAAAAAAAATAGAAATTTTTTTTTAATTTTAACTCTGATAATAAAAAAAAGACGAAGTTGGTAAGTATTAATTTTGGCGTATATCTAGCTTATCTGAAAATGAACATGCTATAAACAAATTTTTAAACTTAAATAAATTTTATTTTTAAAAAAACAAATACAATTAGTTATTAAAGAGAGTTTTACTTTAATTTATATTCAACTAAATTTTTTATTTAAAACAAATAATTAATGACTAATAATATAATAGATGGTAAGTTGTTTTTATTTATTATCAGAATTTAACTATACTTTTTACTGTAATTTAAACTCAACTAAACTTTTTATTTAAAAAATAATTAATAATTAATAATATAATAGAAGAAGATGGTAAGTTGTTTTTATTTATTATCAGTATTTAATAATACTTTTTATTGTAATTTAAACCCAACTAAATTTTTATTAAATATAATGATTGTAAGTTATTTTTATTGATTATTAGTATTTAATTATACTTTTTTTATGTAATTTAAACTCAACTAAACTTACGAGCTAAAATTTTAATTATTTTTTTAAATTATAAGTTGTTTTAATTGATTATTAGTAATTTTTACTGTAATTTAAACTCAAACTAAATTTTTTATTTAAAAACAATTAAAACTTTAGTTTGTAAGTTAATTTTGTTGATTATTAGTATTTAATTATACTTCTTGCTTTTTAATATAATTTAAATTTTTTATTTAAAAAAAAATAATTTAAAAATTTAGTAATGTAAGTTATTTTTATTGATTATTAGTATTTAATTATACTTTTTACTATAATATAAACTCAACTAAATTTTTTTTTAAAAAAATAATTAATGATTAAATTTAAAATACAAAAAAAAACTATTAAAGAAAGAATAATTTAAATTCAACTAAATATTTATTTAAAAAATAATTTTAAAACTTTAGATTGTAAGTTAATTTTATTGATTATCATTATTTAATTATACTTTTTAATCTTACTAAACTTTTTATTTAAAAAATAATTAAAATTTTAGTTTGTAAGTTAATTTTATTAATTATTATGGGCCATAGTATCTTCCCATGTATTGTATCTCCTTTTTTTGCCCCCAAAAAGTTACATTTTCTATTGTTTTTATTATTTATAAATCTAATTTTAACCAAAAATTATGCATTAAACAATTTTCTTATAGTTATACAAGTCTTTAATACATTCTATTTCTGTATTTATAAAAGTTATAGACTTAGTAGTATAAGGTTAATCATCCAAAATTGCAAGATACCTGAGGTACTATAACTCGCAATCTACAATAGTATTTAATTATACTTTTAACTATAATTTAAACTCAACTAAATTTTTTATTTAAAAAAATGATTTAAATTTTTTAGCTAGTAAGTATTAATTATTGATTATTAGTATTTTTCATAATGATTTAAAATTAACTGCATTTATATAAAATTGAGATACAAGATATATTAATCATATGATCTGTATCTCAATTTTAATAGCACACCACTCATATATCAAAGTAACTTGTTGACTGATTTTAGAAAATAGAAATATTAAATTAGATAGAATTATTATTCGATTTGTTAAAATATTAATTTTTTGAAATAACTGTATATTACAAAGTCATGATTGGCAGAGTGATAAATTAGAAAATTCTATATGTTAACTCTTTATTATAGCAAGTGAATCTTCTTGTCTAAATTTGTCACTTCATGTTTTTGATACAGCTTATGATATTTTGAATATAAAATGAAGCTATAAAATTGGACTTTTAATCCAAGTTTTTTCCTTATAAAGTATATTAAATCTGGAAAATCATTAAAATCATCATCTTTGATATCTATCAAGACCAGTTTCATAGATTTTATTCAATTGCTGTCTCCATAATTTTGTATTTTATCTGAAATGTCATGATTCAGAATAAAATTCACAATAATCAGCTATCAATAATTGATTCTAAATCTGGTATATCTTGAAAGGACTCATAATCTAATGATGCATATTTTTCAAATATTTCAGAAGCTTTATCATCACCTGATTCACCATTATCTGATTTATTTCTACTACTATTACTATCTGAAATATCATCTTCTTCATGATATATTCAGAAGATTCAAAAGGCTCATCAACACTTAATTTGAAATTAACATCAAGTGAATTTATATTGGATTTTGATTGATTTTTATACCTATTTACATGTTTTTTAAATATAGGTATAGAATCAAATATCATCTAATTTATGTTTAATAATTCATCTAGCTGAAGCTGAAATTATATTATTAAGACTTTTCCATTTCTTCCTAAATTTCAAATTAATGAAATACATTTAAAATTGAATTTTGAGAATATTGATATTTTCTAATTACAATATGTAATAATAATATTCTAGAAGTAAAAGATATTTCTTCATTAATTAAACTAGTAATCAATCTGTTTCTTATATAAGAAGTCACAATAAAAGATTGACTTAAGTTATTTTCTTCATCATCAAATACGATAGTGATTGTGCTTTTTTATTTATTTTGATTATATGGGAGCTTTGCTATTAAAAATGGGTTTTGGGGACCTTTCAACAAAAAATGAGATTTTTGATTCATATTAT